TCAGAAACATGCACACGCACAGAAGAATATTATACTAGTATTTATATAAAAATTTATATGTATTTAGAAATATTTAAGAATGTTTATCAGTAGTCTGGTTGCCATAGTACAGGCTCTGCCTAATTTGGGATCAGACTGCCGTGTGTGAGATGTGTTGAGATGTTATTATTTCTGGGTTTTCCAAAACCTCATTTCTAAGGATGCTGGGCCTGATGATGGCCATAAGTGGACTGTGTAAGAATGATGATGATAATGAGTATCATTTGTCATGAGTACTGCATTGACATAAAAAAAATACTTCAAAATAAATGATTTCCTCTTCCATTGCTATGTCGCTAGCAGTGAAACCAAAGCTTCTACTGTGTATTTTGCGTTTCTAATATTCAGTTATTGGATATTTTGATGAATGTCCATAGTTTTATGGTTTCCATGGATTTGTGGCTTCCACGTTATATCTCTTATGTAAGATGTATGATAACATTAAATACTTACAAGAGTAATGCGGAATATCGTACGTACTTTTACAATTTACACTAAAATATAATTAAATTGATTTTTTCGCCTAAATAGCTGCACTCATTTCAATGAGCTTTCTTATAGAGATAGACGAGACTTTAGAGCAAAATAAAGGCTACTTTTTGTCTTTTTTTCAGTCTTTTTGGAAAGAAGTTTCTTATGTCGCGTTACACCCCCTGAGCGGATGGGGGCTAGACCGAAAAATGTGTAGGTACCTAATTAAACTTTTTGCTGACACTTTTTGTTATAGTACGCACGCACTTGCTTAGATCTTTTAAACTAAGCCACGGATTTTAATGCGCTTTCCACCAGTAGAGAGAGTTATTTAAGAGGAAGGTTTCTATATATAGTAAATGCATACTATAGTAGAGAAAATTCGAGAATTTCAAAGATTTCAAAGAAAAAACGTGTTTTTGTGCGCTTAAATTGCAAGCACTGGTTAATTACTTACTTAAATAATGTACTATGGAATTGTATCTTTGTTCGTTGTATTAAAAAGATCTACAATAAATCCGCGATGGTATATGTCTATCTCGTAAGGATAAACCACAGTAACCATTTTTATCTTCTAAACTTTACATAAAAACATGATCCATCAAGCATAAGCCATCATAAACCAACATGAACAACATAAGCCATCTTTATGGCACTTAGCGCAACATAAACATTGCCTTTGGGTATTTTAGGGTAATGTCCTGAAGTTTATGCACCGTAACCGCCCAACTGAGGATAAGCAGTAGCATTCTCCGTTCAATATCTCCATAGCTTTTACTTGCCTGATAGGTTTATTAGGCAACTAATAGCTACGGGGATGTTGAACGGGGTTGATTGCCATAGGGCCTGTGTCCACAACCGATGACACAGGCACTTTTGATTTTGTGTCAATGGAGTCGTCATCATATTCAATTCAATTCGTTTATTGCACTCTATGATGTATTATTATCTTTAAATGTAGAAAGAAACAATTATGGACCCCGTGGGACAACATTAGGAGAGAAAAGCAAACATTCTATCATCATATTGAAATGTAGATTAGTAAATAGAACTAAGTAGGTATTTCTTTTATTGCTCACGTATTAATTAAATTTAATAAATATTATATTATAGTACATTATTATTATATATTATGTTAATTTTTTTATTAAAAATCTTTAAATTTTTTGATAAACGTATTAATATTTTCTTTATTTTTATTATTATTGGTTAATTTATTGTATATTTTTATGGACTTGACATAGGGGCTTGATGCGTGCATTTGTAATGTGAACGTTGGTAAATTTAGTCCGTTTCGTGTCTTACTGTATAATTTGTATTCAAATCTTCCCTTCTCGGGTAATAATCTGTGTGTTGTCTGACAAATTTACATGTTTCAAGAATATACATACAAGGAACGGTTACTATTTTTAGTTTTCGGAAATAAGGTTTTCTGTGTCGTCAGTGTAAGTTGTTTTGTATACGCCTCAAAAATTCAAAAAGTTCTGCGCCGATTGAGTTCCAACTGTGACACGATATACAGCTTTAAAGATGGTTTTTATCTATTTTTGCTACCACAATGTGCCAATCCTATGCGTTGCAGGGTATAGCAAGTGTTTTATAAAAACTGAATCGGGTAACTCGCCTGTTTCTTAAATTAAATGTTTCTTGAATTAAATTTAAATGGCAGGCCATTTAAATTTGGATAAGATACTTGGACCAGGCCCCTTGGTAACAGAAATGTTGCATCTCAACATAACTCTGGAGCATATTCCCAGTTTCAATACGTGCATCAAACCACCACAGCTATTCGCATCAGCAGGAATTACATTTGAAGGTGGTGGTCTTCCGTAGGTTGCTACCTCTCGTGACTTATATGGAGGAGTTCCACCTACTACGTGCCTATGATTGTTTACACTAAAAATTGAAAAATAAACATTTTTATCAAAAAAAACCTTAAACAAAAACTCCTAAAAAGCAGAAAATATTCCTAATTATTTTTATTATATAGTATACTAGCGGACCCGACAGACGTTGTCCTGTCAAATTTGACACTGCGATGGTAGCGCCGTCTGTCTGATCCAATGTAAAACATTCCAAAATCAACAACTACTAATAAATTAAAAATTAATTAAAAAAACATTGTCCAGCGGACAAAATTGTGAATCTAAACCATTCCCAGATCCCCTTGAACACACACAAAAAATTTCATCAAAATCGGTCCAGTCATTTGAGAGAAGTTCAGTGACATACACACTCACAGAAGAATTATATATATAAAGATAATATCACAAAGCGAAAGGAACTTCGTTCCAACCGTTGGTCCATAGACGTCGGTTTTTTTTAAGGACGAGCAAATGAGCAGACAGGACAACTGGTGGTAAGTGGCTACCGCCACCCATGTTCGCCCTTAACACAAGAGATACCCTTTATGTGCCCTCTCCAAGATTTGGGGGTTATGGGAGGGAGATTGGGCCTCCTTTGGGCACTAATTACTGCTCTTAATATAAAAGTTACTTTTGAATTTAATTGCACTCACGGCTGTCTGATTCCAAACTAGGCAGAGTCTGTGCTATGGTAACCAGACTGCTAATAAACATACTTACACCCAGACACAGAACAAACGATCGATAAAATATATGCAAATATATTTTTACATATAAATATTTGCACTGAACGGAACTCAAACCTGCAATCTACGATGCGGCATTCTTATGCAATACCGCACCACACAGGTCTCCAAACGTATTCTATGCAAGTAAATTTCTGGATTGAATTAAAATTACCTACATTCAAATCAAATTAGTACCTCATCCTAAGTTCGCAGCTCTCTGTGTTCACAAGTATCGGGCACAGATTATGATATTAAATTGTTCCACGAGCGACGGGAGGGGTGCGAGGGGGTCGGGGGAGGCGGCAGGCAAGACATCCAGGGCTGTACTTAGGAATAATAATGGCGGAATATGTGTCTATGGGCTTTTTAATAAACCTATATAGGAGAGGCCTATATCCAGCAGTCACAAATTGTTTACAAAAAGTTGTTGACTTCATAAGCAACGAAATTATTGTTTTTTTTGTTATCCTATAGAGAAATGCCAATTAGGATTAAAAAAGAATCTTGATTCATTATTTATACAATCCAAATATAAAAACGGTTATAAGGAATGAAAAAAAAAAACTATTTAAGTAAGAAAATTTAAGGCAGAAAAGTAGTTTTTTTTTTTACTACTACTACTACTGCCTTGAAAATATTTTTTTTCAAATATTATGCTTAACTTGATAATAAACTTTTTTGCTACGATAATTAATGCCATTATGAGATAAAAAAACAGCTGCAACATTTTTAACAACTTTTTTTTTTATTTTGTTTTATTTTATTTTTTAAAATGATAAGAAAAAAAACATTTTTAGATCAATTATTTAAACTTATATGTCGACTTTTATAGGAACAGAGATTGGATAAAAATTAGTTCATTAATAACCAGATAACTTTTTAAAAATGGTCATTTTTTTCTCAACAGTATTCTCTTGTTTCAAGTGTTCTCACATCTTATTTTTTTTTTAATTTTTAAATAAATATTTAATACTATCAAAAAATATATTTTGTGTGATATACTGTCTCAAGCAGCGTTGCGCTAATGTTATTCTCAGCGTTGAAATTAAATGATAAATAATGAAGATAGAATTTCGGGAGTCCGAACCTTTTTATTGGAAATTTTCCTCTTAAAGGATCTTTTTAAAAAAACTTAAAATATGAATAGTTTTTGAGTTATTAACAAAGAACTGAATATCTAATTTTTTTACATCTTATTTTGTTAATACCAATTGCAATTTAATAAATCCTCGAGATACCGTTTTCTAGACGTCTTCCTAACGAATGTGATATCTAACTTGTTGACTAGACTAACACCCACAAGCCACTCGAATAGAAGGACTGACTTACCGCTTTAAATAACGTCACTTTGACGTCTGGCGTTAAATAAAACTTATATTTCATATTATTATCACTTATGGGTGGTACATTATTATAAACAAACGCTGAATAATTATTAAAATACGTACCTGCGTCAATCAAAAGCGTTTAACGACCGCAAATCACTGCCAAACCACACCCCCGCAATCTGGTCACGCCCCTTGCACGCATGCGCGCCAAACACCAATAAGATCGTCACAAAACAACCCCTCTCCTAAGGGTAGCTACCACCCTCCGATTGACCATAGACGATGTCATTTTTTCTTTACCAAACCGATCGCTTGTAGCCCCGCCCAAACAATTTTAAATTTGTGCCCCTTTTTAAATCTAAACCGCAACCAATATAGCTCTGATAGTCACTTCGAACAGTCGTCCTACTCAACTAACTAATTAACTAAAATATTATAAATTAACTCAATAATAAACTAATAAAAATAAAGTGTTATGTGTAACAGTGATTTAAAAAAATGAAATTAAAAAATTACAAAGTCAATTAAAAATAATAATAATAATGATGGAACACAGGCAAAATTCGAATATGTATCCAGCGAATTTAACGGATTTATTGGCGTATCAACAAAATGTCGACCGATTGTCGGCGATATCCGACGGCGAAGATAAATACACTAGCGAATTCACCGAGAACGCGAATAGATTCGCCGAAAATGCTGATAGATCGTCGTCACCGGTGTCGACGTTGGACGACGGCGACAGTCAGTCGGCTTTTGGTGTCGATTTGACAGGAAAAGGAACGAATTTAGGCGGGAAATCTTTTACAATTGCCGCCATATTAGGTTTAACAAATAGGGACGATAATGTGATGAATTTGAGCGTTCAGGAGAGGCTGCAGCAGAACCAGAGACAGCTGCATAATTACCTGTACGCTGGTCATGATGTACAGCGGTTGAATGATGGATTTTGTAGGAGTATGGTGGATGTGCCGACGGGGTTGCGACAAGGTAAGCCTTAGTTTTTTTCATTGTTACATTTGGTCATTGTGTCAGCCTTATACTGCTCCTATCTTTATGGGTTTTCCTCGGACGATGTCTAAACATCACATAAGCTCAGTTAAACGGTGCCAGTAAATTATAGTTTAGCAAAACTTAAAAACAAAACATGACGGCGAATTAAAAAAAAAAACAAAAATGCAGAAAATTTGCAAACCGGCGATTTTAATTTTTATATACCTACCCAGTGTCACTCTCACTATTAAGACGAGTCTGACGACTATCAAATCGTTTAGGCTACAGAGCATGCCAAAGAAATATCGCAGTGCCAATAAAATCTGGTGCAGTCAGTAAATACTTGACTATTCACATCCTGCCTTCATCATGAAACCATGGTTACTAAGCTACGTTGGTCTTTTAAAAACAAATTACAAGACCCCATTAGGTCAGCTTTAAGACGTTTTAGTATTATCATCAAAACCTATATACAAAGTTTCTCCGTGTGGTGACGGATTGGTGGGTGAGGGTGTCGTAAGACTAAGACTACGGGTAATCCCGACTAAGGGAACAAACTACGCAGGACAACAGCACTGCAGAAAGAGAAGGAAAACTTGAAACAAACCCTACTACACCAACCCGTTTGGACGGCGTGGTGTAGTAGGCCAAAACCTCCTTTCTAAGGAGGCCTATGTCCAGCAGTGGACTATTGAAGGCTGTTGATGATGACGATAAAAAGTTTTGTTTCGATACGACCATTATAGGAGGCTAAAATTGTTCTACATTTGTTTACATAGTTAGGTACAAAGTGAAGAAAATAAAAGCACGTTAAAAATTGTTTTTGACTACCTAATCTTATCACCCCTACTCATCTTCTTCTCTTGTAGTTTGCTCCCACATTAAGATTAAATCTACTGATATTATTGACAAGTCCAAACACCCAGGGTTTTTCCTGTTATCGAACCAAACAGCTTCGCACGCCATCGGGATTTTCCTAGACCTCGCCAAAGCTTTCGATAGTATATCTTGCTCTATACTTTTGAATAAGCTCGAAGCACTTGGGATACGGGGAACACAACTTCGCTTATTTTCGGATTATCTTAGTGATCGCCGTCAATGTGTGAAAATTGGTCAATACTTAAGTACTGAAGCAAAGAACACTGGCTATGGTTTTCCCCAGGGCAGCGTTCTGGGCTGTACCTTGTTCCTAGTGTATATCAATGACCTCTGCAGCCTGAAGATACCAAGTGGTGTCATAATATCTTATGCGGATCACACGGCTTTATTATTTGCAGCGAAATCTCGTAGTGAAGTTTTTGAGCTCGCTCAGACAGGCTTTAACATAGTGACTAACTGGCTATATAATAATCTACTAACCCTAAATACAGATAAAACCAAATACATTATATTTTCAATGAGGGGTACAAACATACCTATAATTAGTCCAAAGATATACGCACATAAAAATATCTGCTGCCCTGCTTTAGCAAACTCCGATGAAGTGAAATATCTAGGTGTTATCCTTAACCAAAATTTGAATTTCCGTAAACACGTTGACTTATTATGTACAAGGGAACGAAAATTAATACATATTTAATGTATATATATTTAAGAGTCTTCGCAGTGTAGCCGATTACACATTATTAAGGAAAGTCTATTTATCGTTGTGTCAATCAATACTTACTTATTGCATTACTTCATGGGGTGGTGCAGCAAAGTCAATATTACTGCCTTTAGAGCGCGCTCAAAGAGCCATTCTGAAGGTGGCGACATTCCGCCCATTCATATTTCCCACACACGAGCTTTACATTGCATGTAATGTACTAACAGTCCGACAGTTATTTATATTGCACAGCATTCTAAAACAGCATACTGAACTCCCCTATAACCCCATACCATCAAATAAGAGAAGGAAGGATATAGTGTGTAGCAGGCCTCAAGCTAGTCATGCATTTGTTCATAGATTTTATTTATTTTTAGGACCTTTTTTATACAATAAAATTAATAGAATACTAAATATATACAGCCTCAATAATAAAAAATGTATGATCATGTTATCAGAATGACACAGAAAATGTATTGGCAATTGTTAAATGAGTCTTAAATAGTTTTTGTATAATATTATTTTCTATTATTTGCTTTCGTACGTGTACACTTTGTAGTATTTTTTATATTTTCTAGTGATCTGTTTTGTTTATCTTACATTTCCACCTTAAAAATTCCATATCAAACGATCGCCTGAAACACAGGTTTACCCTAGTTCAGGTAGGCAGCGACTAAAGTTTTTAACAAAATCTTAATATCTTTATGTGTAGAAAATCATACAATATGAATCATACTACACGGTCATAAGAATAAAATAACACTACTATAAATTTACGCTAGTGTAATTTAGTCTAATTATTGTCTAAGATCTATGTTAAACTGAAATGTCCTACACTGTAATATTTATATTGGTCAAATAAAAATTATTATTATTATTATAGCTCTTTCTGTGAAGGGAAGCCATTATCACATTAAGTAACATTATTTTTCCATAATGTTAGGGATAAATCAGACATTTAAAAATTCAAAAATTCCTGTTAAAAAAAGACACATTTCATTCACTTGTAATTTTTTGACTTATCTGTTGCATTATCATTGCGATATTATATATTCCTTTTATTTAACAACATTTCTCTGATTAAAATATATATTTTTGACTATCATTAATCCAAGGAAATAGACATTTTCATAACATAAATGGTATGATTTAAAACAATAAATATGGTGTAATTTATCTATAATATGTATGTATTTAGAAATATATAAGTATGTTCTTCAGCTCGTTACCATAGTACAGGCTCTGACTAGTTTGGGATCAGACTGCCGTATGTGAGATGTTTGAAGTTGAGAGTTTGTTAACTATAACCGCATTGAAATCTGTTCAGCAGTTTTCGAGTTTATCACGATCAGACAGACTGACAAAATGACGAACGTGTCAGGTGACTATCATCATCTGCCTACCCTTTTCCCAATTTTATTTGGGGTCGGCGCAGTATGTATGATTTTTCCATTCTACTCTGTCATGCGTCATCTCACTGTTTACTCCCTTCCTAGCCATATCCTCCCTGACGCAGTCCATCCACCTCTTCTTCGGTCTGCCTCTTCTCTTGTACCCTTCAACTCTCATACCTAAAACTTTCTTCGCCACATTTTCCTCATCCCTCCGCATGACATGTCCATACCAAGATAACCTATTACTTATTAACTTTTCATCCAGTGGCGCTACTTTCAGACTCCCTCGTATATACTCATTCCTAACCTTGTCCATCTGAGTCACACCACACATCCATCTCAGCATTCGCATTTCGCCTCATTCAGGCGTCTCTCATCCGTTCTCTTAATGGGCCAACTTTCAGAGCCATACAGGACGGCAGGTCTGATAATATGTTTTATAATATTTAGTGAAAAATGATCTAGATTATTGTAAAACAAATTTAAAAAAATAGGCAAATTTGGTTTGGCGTCTACGAATGATTTTACGATTATACATGAAAAAAACTATAACTGAGGGAAGAGGTTGATGCCGGGGTTTCTATGAAACAGCCGTATAGGGCAAAACATTGTTTTGCTGAGTGATTCTAAACGCACAATATTTAGGACAGCGCCTTATTAACTTTTTTTCAGGCGCAAAATACCTATGAAACAATGTATCACACGTAGCTACTAGAGGATGAAACCATGAGATCTTTTATGTTAGCTTGTAACATTAACTTTTAAAATTTTAACAGTTTAGCTGAATTAGAATCCTAATTTAAGCAGTGTATTCGAAGTATTGGAATCGGCATGTTGTTTTCCATCGAGCATTTCATTCTTCGAACGTTTAAAAAACGGAAAACAAACAAATCGCATTCAAGACTTTTATTTTAATTAATTTAATTTTAATTTGTAACTCGGAACATGGAAATTCTATATAAAATATTTCGGAGTATTTAGGTGTTCCCATTTTTACTATATCATAATAATTATACAGTAGGTATAGAAAAATAAACAACCATCGATAGATAGTCTGACGTTGCGGCCTAATTTGGGCACGGCGTTATTGCGGAATTATTATTATTAAGGAATCACAGGACCCTCTCATACCTACCGCTGGAGGTGATCACCGGAAAGTGATACTTCGGAGATCAGCTGTGTCTGACCCGCAAGTAGCCAACACCTGAGTGCCACCACTGCGTTGGCCATAGAGTGGCCTATTCGAACTAGTAGCTCCTGACATTAGTGCGTTCAACCAAACGAACAAACATACTTTATATTTTAAAATAAAAAAGCCATTAATTCCATTACTTAATTATTATAACAATACTTGGTGTGAATATTAATTTTAATATCCAAGCCAGAGCGATCCTTCCACGTACCTACATCTTCCGCGGTGTAGTGTTCAAATAAAACAGATTGACCTAGGTAGAATTAATCTTTTTCATATTCTATGCCTTGACCTAACCAATGTGGTCAACGGAAAAATAATATTTTCAAAAAATAGGATGGAATGTTTTAGAAACGCTAAAAACAACAAATTGGGAAAGTATACCAAATAACAACAATAGTGTACATAAAACTTATGAATCCTTCATGAAATTCATAAAACAAAATCTCAATAAATATATCCCGGTACAAAAAATAAAAATAAAAACTTAAAAAAGGGTGGCTGACTACAGGTCTCAAAAAATCATGCAAGCATAAAAGGGTGTTAAGAACCATCTTTAATGAAACTAAAAGTGATTTAATAAAAAACCACTACAAATCATATAGTAAAACATTAAAATACACTATTAGAAAATAAAAAAAAATTGAATTTATTAGGCAAATGAAAAATTCTGACAATAAAACTAAAATAGATAGACTTAAAAATATATCATTAAATATTAACAATGAAGAAGTCGAAATGTCTTTCAGATATAGCCAACATATTTAACGAATTCTTTGCAACGGTAGGGCAAAACCAAACAACCAGGGCCTCAATTCTGCTATTTTATGTTCACGCCAAGCCACTGTCATACCACTGACACGCTATTGAGATCTCAATAGCGTGTCAGTGGCTTGGCGTGAACATAAAATAGCAGAATTGAGGCCCAGTTCTAACACCGCCAACAGTGGACAACCAGTGGTTAACCCCTCCACATGTTCAATGTATGTGCGCCCTGTAAATCAAAAAGAAATCGATCGAAAATCGATATCATTCGATCAACTAGAAATAAGCATAGTTGCGGTTTCGACGACATTCCACCAATTTTATAAAACAATGTGTAATAGAACTTTCAACCCCTTTGACATTACTATTAAATCAAAGTTTCCAAGACGGTCAATTTCCAGACGCACTTAAAGTCGCTTTAGTAAAACCAATACATAAGAAACACGACACACACTCCTACAAATTATAGGCCAATAGCCCTTTTACCAACGTTTTCAAAAGTATTCGAAAAAGCTATGTGTAACCAGCTATATGCGTTTCTATAAAAGTTTAATATTCTTGACGACTCACAAAATGGATTTAGAAAACGTAGATCAACGACGTTAGCCGTGTATAAATACATTCCAAGAGCGTTACAATACATAATGACAAACAACACGTAATAGGATTGCTGCTGGACATGACAAAGGCGTATGACAGGGTCTCATATCACATTCTACTCAACAAATTATATGGCTGTGGAGTACGGGGATGCGGTTATTCATGGTTTAAATCATATTTGGAAAATAGGACACAAATAGTAAAATTAATCATTACAACCATGGGAAAATGAAATAAAAACTTTCAGATCTCGAGAATTCCGAATAACTTCCACAATACCCCAAGGAACATTATATTACATAAATGATCTGCCAAAAACATTAGATAAAGAAAAAACTCTGCCGGTACTTTTTGCGGACGACATTTCGATACTATTAAATTGCGAAAATGAAAATAACCCCAATCTTCTTTTACAATACACTCTTCAAACTATAGATAACTGGCTTAAAGATAACAACTTAGAAATAAATTGAACTAACATAAAAATAATTCAATTCAGATCACATAAAAAAATTCCCCTAAAATTGGACATAATATACAGAAACACACGTTTAGAAGAAGTCTAGACATTTACATTACTTGGCATGAAAATAGACACACATACATTTTACATATAAATTGGAAATCACACATCGAGCACATTAAATCAAAACTTTACAGATTTTCTTACGCCCTTCTTCAAATTAAACAAACTACCAACACAAAGACAGCTTTGTCTACTTACTACGCGTATGCATACTCGTGGCTGCGATATGGCGTCATGCTATGGTTAAATAGCGTTAACAGCGGTGAACTATTCATAATGCAAAAGAAATGTATAAAAATCCTAGCCCAAATTGATTACACGGAGAGTTGTAAACCATTTTTTTATAACCACCACCACTCGACATATGCGTATTTGTGTTCAAAAATATTGATGCCTTTGCTAAAGTAAAAGACACCCACACCATAAACACCCGGCACAAAAATCCTACCTTCCTCCGTCGAGAATAAAAATGTTGAACGAAAGCCCATAACTATATGGCAGTTAAAATATTTAACAAGTTACCAGACGTTATTAAAAACAAAAGAAAACCACTACTTTTCCAAAAAAAAAAACTATATCTCACAAAAAAATGTTTCTACTCAGGCAAAGAATACTTGGAGCCTACCTCAACATGACGTTTACATAATTGCGATCCGTCCTATACAAATATTTACCTACTATTTTTTATATCATTTAATTACAATTTTAATATACAATATAATATTATTATTTTAATTCATAATAATATTCAAAGCTGACATGATTTCATTAGCAATTCTTTATTTTTATCTCCCTTATTCTATAAATTAAGAACTTTTTAATAATGAAATCTTCCTAGTATGGACTGTGAGCTGCTAGTGCAGCACCTTATGACCTTTTGCACACCATTGTCATGGTAGAATGTACTGAACCAGTATTATAATAATTGAAATCTGTTGTATGTACTACATTCTGCAAGTAAATGAATTTGAATTTGAACCTATAATGACTGAATTTTTCACTTCACTGTTTGTAATTATTGTGGTTTTTGTGACGTAAAGCCCACTTTTTTACTTTCCTGTGTTAGTTGATTTAGCATGCTAGACAAATCTGCTTGGTGTTTGCCAAGAACAGCGATAATCATCTGCATTAGGTATTTTCCATTGACCATTTATTCGCAGCCCCTTTTTTTAAGCCTATCTAGTTTTAAAGATATTCTCTTAAACCATAGGGTACCTTTCCTTATAGAGAACTAGCTGACCCCGCAAACGTTTTTTTGCCAAATACATTATTTCAAAAAAATTGTCTGTAAGTCGGTTTACTGACGATAGTTGAACGTGACAACGTCATAAGAAAATACTGATGGAATGGTTCATACTTGACGAAAACATGTAAATGTATTATTGTATAGCAGCTGTCCACGCGGAGGCATCGCTCACTCAAGTAGGAGAGAGATAGATGTTGAATGCTGCCGAACGCGGAGGCCGATTGTGCCTCTTTGTCGCACTTCAAGCCTTAAATGGAACGCCTCAGAGCGAGGTAACGCCGCATGAGTCATGATTTGCTCCATCGAATTATAAGACGTCGTGACGTCAAAAAAGTCAACAAAAAAATGGTGTATGAAAAATAGATCTTGGCCGATTCTCAGACCTACCCGATATGCACACAAAATTTCACGAAAATCAGTCGAGCCGTTTCGGAGGAGTTCTACTTCTAACACCGTGACACGAGAATTTTATATATTAGATTTATCACCCTCTATTTCTAGTGTAAGTTTTGCGCAGCTTTTTTATGTATGTTTTGTAACACAGTAATACACTATGGTACCACGCCTTGTTGACGAAGTATTTCCCAGATTATGTTGTGTTAAAAGGAATCAAACGCATTTTTAAAGTCTACGAAACGTGTTTTGTTATATTCCTTGACCTTTTAGATTGAATCGATATTAGCACCTATAAAATGTCACCCAGACACAAGTGATTGCGCTCATCACACAATTATTTTTTGTCATGGATGCGATCAATTCACAACCTCAGAATTTAATGTATTTTTGTAATAAGTATTCGTTCAAAATTCAGTGCCGATCTACTCTCGGAACAAAGTCTTACTAAGACTAACTACGGAGCAGAATACCGATTCAACTTTACAATTCAATATAATCACATAACGTTGGATGTTTAATACTTTACTAAGAGAATACCTTTCATGACATTTGTGAGATCAAGTGTAGATCGAAACAACATTTTATTACGAGAATTGACCATCAGGTTAAGGTGTCAAAATTACAGACCATTGAACCAATAGGCTAATCAACATTTTAATCATCGACGGCCTTTAAAAATCTACTGCTGGATATAGGCCTTAGAAAGGAGGTTTATACCTACTATACCACGCTGGCCAGACGGGTTGGTATAGCTCTCACTCAAGCAAAGACAAAGTTTTTTTCGGCCATAAATTTGCCATCTTAGTACAAAAAAAAACAAGATGAAACAATATTACATTCCTCCCCTACGTAAACGGTGACATGTCTGGCATTAATTAAGGGGTAAGTTGCTCGTGTCCGAGGGATTATAATCTTGTCCACTTGTTAAATGAATGCAGGTGGACCAACGGCTTACGGAGGGACCCTTTCTGTCAATTAAGTCACGACATGTTAACGAATTGTGTAGAAGTTAGACTCTCGTAGAAGTCTCATAATTCGTTTTTTTATATTACCTAACTATGATTTCATCTACCTACTCCTATAACTCGAATTTATTTAAACAAGTCTCTTTGGTTATATGATGGAATTTCAAAAAAAAGATAGAATTATTACATTTCCAGGTGTGTCTATGTCTTGCTAGACAACAAAGATAAATGGAGCAATATAATAGAAGAAATAATATCAAAAGCATTAATGAAATAAAACATGAATGCGTGAAAATGGAGGTACTATAAGATATATAAACAGAGTATACAGAGTATTTAATCTTACAACTTGATTGACTTGAATTTTAATTTCCTAATGCTATCAATATCAAATTACGTATGAACAACTTCAAACTTTTATTGGGTATTTATTAAATTTATATAATTAGAAAATGAACTAATGCACTTCTATTGTCCAACATAGCACCTCGTTGGACGATATTACATTTAGCCTTGCCACTTGTCTTCGGTTAGGAACGCCTTGTGTTTCTCCGCATCTTTGTCACTGCGGAGTTGCGGAGAAGCTGTTGACAGTCTTAGACATCATGGCCTTTCTTATAGCAGAAGCGCTGGCCGTGTATCCTGACGTCGTGCTCTTGTGAATCACATAAAGTGTTGTCCTATGTGATCGAACACACAACACTCAGCGCAGCCGGAAGCGGCGAGGTAACCGCTTAAACCACTACGCCATCCGTGCAGTCAAATGATAAATATTAAATGAAATAAGTAAATGATAAATAGGTAGAAACTGTAAACGTTTAGGACAACAAAAAGGCGTAAAAAATAATTTTAAGAAAACCTACGCGTTAAGTGGTATCCGAGTAGGTTAGCACATTGCAAAGTTAAGTAATCCTAACCAGTCAATCTATGGATGGATGTCCATTCTTAACACATTGAGACCCCCTCCGTGCCTCGGAGAGCTCGTTAAGCCGTCGGTCCCGATTGCCATACGAACGTCTGTGGCAATCTATCGAGCCCTAAATAGTCTGACAAGTATTTCTACAGAACTTCGATATCGCCTAGTTCTTGAGTTGTGGAGGTCTGATGACAATCGCTCCATATAAAAAATGGAAGTTCAGCCGTGTTTTAATAGACTGAAAGCCAACTATAACACAGTTCGGGCAAAGGCTCAGAGGAGGACAAAGAAGATACGAGTAATTTATAATTGCAATGTCCATTTTAAGATAGCTTGTACTTGTTGCAGATAGTCCCCGACCCGAGATGAGGCCGCAGGTCGGACAGTTGAAGACTGCCCGGAGTCACTCCATGACGTGTTCCAGCAGGTACGTGTCAAGTGTTATCGTTATCGGCTCGGTAACAAACATATATTATACGACAATAAAGGTTTAAATGTATGTATATATGTAAAGTAACAAAAAATTTGAAATAATTACCTTTTACCAATTTTAACAAAGATGTGTTAAGATGATAGATGCTTACCAAGCCTCTACCTACCTCTTTAGGCATATAACTGTGAGTGTATGTCTGTGTGTAGATGGTTGAAAACCCGATTGTAACTCGTACCAGGCCTAGATGTGTTCACTCCTATTAAGTGTTTTATTACGAGCTTGTTGTTCTGTAGATATCATATATTTTGCTTTTTAAAAGTAGGTAAACTAAAGTGCTAACTCTTGACTGTGTCTTCGCTAGTGTTACTATATTTTTTACCGAATAAAAGATAAAGTAAATAGTGTAAGGGACGTCGTAACGAATACTGAAATAGTGTATTCAGACTATCATTCTGAGTCGAAAACAATTGGAATTTTCTGCCGGCAAATTAAACGTTTTATGCTATCAGCTGTCAAAGGTTAAGGTTTACCCTTAGATATTGCACAAAAGTAATAACTATATTTGTATGCCGCGCAAACAGTCTACGCTTAGTAACACAAGATGGCGCTTCGGCTTTTATATTAATTATATTGCAGTTTTTGACAGTATGCGGTATTTATTGAATCATTTTGGGTAAAACGATCTGTTTACTGATTGTGATATCATTTTTCATCATTTTTAACCAAAAATTAGAAAATTAAATAAAAATTATCAATTTTCCGGCATAAAATACCAATGGTTTTCGACTCAGAATGATGGTCTAAATACACTATTTCAGTATTCCTTATGATGTCCCTTACACCATGCACAATAAATGAATACAAGATTCTTTTCCTGAGAAAGAAAGGGATCTCTTCTTTAACTCTGACAACATTAATGTGTCTGGAAAAATAAATAAAAAATATGCAGCAACCCATCGGTTAAGGCTGAATGAATCGGTGAAGCCTTATTAAAGTGTTTATATCATAGACACACAAACAATTATAGAAATAGAACATTAGAAAGGGTGTTTCATTTCCTTCCAGTTCGGGCAGAAGCAAGCGGATACGGACCATATTCACCCCTGAACAGCTGGAGCGACTGGAGGCGGAGTTTGAACGCCAGCAGTACATGGTAGGCCCTGAGCGGCTCTACTTGGCACATGCTCTACAACTAACCGAGGCACAGGTGAGAACAACTAGGCGTAAGAGCTGAAAGCATTCATGACATACGGGAAGTCACTGGTTTATACAGTTTTAATGTAGTAATACGGAAGTCACTTACATAAATGATTAAACCGGTGACTTCCAGATTCCTTATAAATTACGGCATATGAAACAACATTTATTTTCGTGAGTCTGTAGTACTGAGTAAATCTCTTAAAATAAAGTAAAAAAATTTACGATACCCATTATCTAATTAATTTTCCAAACCCATGACTTCCTGTTATGTAAATTAATGATTCATCTAGAAATAATGTATGCTGTTCGATTACAGGTGAAGGTCTGGTTCCAAAACCGCCGCATAAAATGGCGAAAGCATCACCTGGAAGTGACTCAACAGCGGCTAGCAGTTCTTCAAAGACACGCACCGCATGAGAGGGACGACGATATGTAGACTGTTAAAGTGAGAACAAGATAGTGATAGTGTTAGTACAGTGATAAGGAATGACTGTATACAAACTCTTTAAGAGCAAGTAAGACACAAAATAATGATGGAAAGACTAAAAGATTAGATCGAGAAGAAATTGCGTGAAAAGTTGTTACTTTTACATCCAGTGTTACCAACTTCAAACTTTTTACCGGATTTAAGGGAAATTAAGTAAAAATTATATTTTAAATCTGTTAATTTGTTTGTCAGCTTTTGTTGGTTCAAAAAAGGTTGAATACGGACTTGAGTTCTGTCCCTTATTAATATACTACGCTACTTACACTTTAATAATATTACCTGGATGAACTATGGAAGAGGTTTTTTTTTAGTAGATTTTCTAAAAATGAAACCTAGCTAGATCGATTAATGACCCCTTGAAACCCCCTGCACACTAAATTTCATGAAAATCGTTGGAGCCGTTTCCGACATTCAGATTATATATATATATAAATATATATTAGAATTGCTCGTTTAAAGGTATCATGTTTTTAACGCCTGCAAACAAACAAAATAAAGGACAATGGCAGGTCCCCATACATAATTTTATTTGAACTGAAATGTTAGCGTTTAAATATCAAAAAATCCTTAACACTTGAGAATTTATTCTTGACCATTCTCATATCAAAATTACTTGCGAAAGAAGTCTAGGAAAAAAGATATTGGATTTAAATGTTTCGAGGTTAAGTACTAACATATTGTTAATGTTTTGTTTGAAACTAGATGGCGTTGTGTGTCAGATAGCCGAAAATATTTTTTTCATTATTATTACAGTATATGAAATAAAAAAAAAAAAGCATGACATCTGAATGAACATTAACACTAAATTAAACAAAAATAAAATAACAAACGTGGTGAGTGCGGAACTTGACAGGATCTAAACCACAGATTAAGAGATATGTACTAAACGACGACGTATCGACATTTTGAAAATATCGATGTATGTCTATTTATGTGCCGTTATCAATGACAATGTATTTTTCTCATCACACTGTGTAGTGGAAAATAACGTAACTATATTCTATTTCTTTAGTGTGTTTAAAATCGTTTAAAGAGAGTCAAAAATATTTTAAATCATTTCTAATTATGTTGATTCAGTCACTCTACCGTACGAGTGAAGACGTGGGCAGAAGCAAATTCATAATCATAATAGTGAACCTTCGGTAAATATTTCAGCCAAAGCTATAAGAATCGATTATCGATAAATTGTTCCATAATATAATATTGCCACCACGCATCCCTAGTCAGTTATATGTGATGGCGAATCTGACATTACGTACTTAGGTCAAATAAAATCTTCAAAAATATCTTATCTCTTATAAGACTTATACAACACATGGTGGTGTAATGATAAATCATAGAAAAAAATTTGATTAAGTTTACTGTGACTCGATTTTTTAAACGCTTAAGTTTTAGATAAATATGTTTCTGCCATTGTTCTTTAAGTTCATTAAATTTATTTTGTTTATTTAATTTAATAATTTAATTTATTCTCCCACTGTGACCACCGTGAAATAATTTTCTAATCTGAGAGGGGCGAGCCAGGAGTCCACAGCACAGAATATCCTAGTTTAGGCTCCTGACTCCTACAAATATCTGGACTTCAAACGCAACTATTTAAACACTTTTATGTTCCTACATTTAACCAATATCTTATGTAACATTTGTTGGATTGAAATAAACATTATTTATTATAATAAAAAAAATATTGCTGAGGTACTTGCCATAAATAAAAAGTTATCTTTATCCTACAGATATCCTCTTAACGCACCATAAAATAGTGTACCATAAAAGTATTAAATATATTAAATACTAACCTATTCTCTACTATTGAAAACTTGAATTAATTTCCAATTTCACTGAATTACTTCTAATGTTGAAGTCGTGATGGTACATCATAGATACTCTATGGTAGCAGGAATGAGGTAAGTGTGAATAGTTCTGTACAAAGCTGTCGTATTTTGAAATAAGGAGTTAGTCTGAATGTAACTAAAAATTTTTAATCTGGAAATAATCGCTGTAATTAAATACCCATACTATATATGCGAAAGTGTGTCTTTCTGTCTGTCTGTTACTTCTTCATGATGAAATTTGGTATAGATATCGCCCGATTCTCGGGATCCTTTAGGGGCGAGAAAAGGGGGGTGGAAGTTTGTATAGGGAATCAATAACGCTAAACCGATTTAAATGAAATTTGGTATGAAGATACTTTGATTGTTAATGAAAGACATAAGCTCCTTTTTACCGCGATAACCGACATTTACACGGGCAGAGCCGGGGGCAAAAGCTAGTACCGAATATGTTAAATATACATACACAATAAACCGGTACCTCTACATTTATATTCTCGTCACGTTTACAGACTGCGTTGCTACGAAAAAATTCTTAACATAAATGGCAGAAATTAAGTTTGTGAAAAAAAAAATGAAAATCATTGTCATTAAGACTTCCTTTATCACCCGCCAGTAATCGCGAGAACCGTGAACGCACAAAATGGGATTAACAATAATTAAAATCACACGAATGATGCCTGTTTGACACAGGCATCATTCGTGAGCCTTTAAGCTATATCAAAACCGAAATAATTTATATCCGTTACGCAACACATCAGCAAAATGTGTTAAAAAAAAGACCGGTAATTGCCGATTTTATTTTACTTTAACTCAATTCTACTAGCATTTAAGTAGGTCTGAAATAAATTAAGTTACACGATGATTCATATTCCCTTTGACACAGAATAACGCTTTTCTGAAGGTATTATAGAGATTTTTATATCTTAAGCATGTTGTCATACTCCAAAGAAAGTTAGCTCCCAGCTAAGATGTTTGTGCAAGGCAACACAAATAGTTTACGAGTATTCTTAAAAAACGGGTTTTATTAAAGTTACTAACTTTCAAGGGACACCCAGAATAACTGCACCACACAGAATAACTGCATTTAATATGGTTTATCTTGGTCTGGCCAAGATAAACTATATTAAATGCAGTTATTCTCTTAAAAGATTTATTATAAACTTCTGAAATACATGTTCGAATATTGTTTGAGTATTTATTTCAGAAGTTTGTTAAAAGTATCAGAATCTTTCTTATACCAGCATTAAAAGTACAACCGGTATTCTATAAATACCGGTATTTGAAGCCTAAGTTACTAACATTCAGACTATCTCCTCGTAGTAGAAAATGTATTTTAGATTGTGTACTTTAAATATTACTTCTAAGTGTACATTCTCTAGTCATTAAATAAACTCAGTTTTAAATATAATTTGTTTTTTATCTTTAACTAGTTACTCGCCCCGGCTTGGCACGGGTGTATAGTGTCTTCCTTTTACACCTTTATCATAAAACAACATTTTTTCACCTGCAACATATGAAATAATACCAGACTAGGACTAATACCGGCCGCAAATTTCCGCCATCGCTCCACACAGCAAAATTTCCATCCCTATTACTTGGATAATTTTCACTCCACCACTGTGCGGATTTCAAGACACTTCTTAACTCGCACAACCAATCCGTGGAGTGAAGTTATCGTCTGTAGTATTGCCGGATCGATATGACCTTCGAACCCTCAAGTACAGAGCGTACTCCCTCCTAAAAGGCTGGCAACACCCTTGTGACTCCTTAGTTGCAGGACGTTGATGGGCAGCCTTAGTCACTTTGAAACAGACCCACCTGCACGTTTGCCTCCTCTTTCATAAAAAAATCAACTGAACGTCAATCTCTGAAGATCCAGTTCACTTAGTTCTCTATTTAGATAATACGGCAATACTGCCAATAAACTCTTGTTTCCGCAGAAGTTGGCAGTGCCAAGTTGTTCCACAGATTGATTGGAGACAAGAAGTCTTTTTAATAGCGCGCAATGGTCCAAATGACAGAGACGGATAATCGTAGATCAACTTCTGCGGGAACAAGAGTTTATTCTTTTCTTTACTGCCGTCCTCTAATATTATCGGTCAACGTGTTAATAAGTATTTAAGTTTGTAGATAATTACTTTCTTATGGACTTAGTGCGTCACAGATTAGACAAATTACGTGATTATGCGTTTATCTTTGGAGATAGTGTTGGGTTTATGGACGCTTTGTTGTTTTGAGTAAGATTTATGGTTAGGAACGGATGGCAAGTCGCTCCAACACAAAGGATTCTCCGACTAGGCGAGGTGATCATGCCTGGAAGATGGCGGCTTAATGGTTGATGTTGACCAGTTGTAGGTATATATGTATACTAATCGACGCACGCACTTTTATTGCAACGAATAAATTTTTTAATAGAAAATTTCACTATGCACCGCCAAACACCGGTAGTGACTGTAATGGCGTAACACCACGGCCAGTACAGTCTGGTCAAAGCTTCAGGCAATACAAAGATATCATTCTCGTGTACATATTTATATAATCAAAGTGGTATCCTATCAAACTTCGATGTGACACACCGTTATTGCATTGATAAGAATCGAGGAGCAAAACTAAAGCAAACAGATAAAAAGAATCTTTGAAGCTGGTTGTATATCGTGTCGAAATTTAAGCTTAATCTATACACATTTGTAGTTTTGTTTTTCAATATTTTAGCAACTATCAAAAAATACAAAAGGGCTGTTACTACTCAACGATAAACATTATAAAGATCATCCGGGTAAGGTATCCGGAAGTCGTTTATTTTCTTTTAAGTGCATTAATTAAACAGGTTTTAATCGACAAATATTCAAGGTTGACGGCATATGAGGGAAATACGTTAAGAACTGCTTTCTTGATATTCAGTGACATGTTGCACAGCGCTGAGAAATAATATTATTGATCAACAGCCTTTAACAGTCCACTGCTTTACACATAGGCCTCTTCTTAGAAAAGAGGTTTTGGCCTACTATACTACGCTGGCCAGACGGATTAGTATAAAGTTTGTTTTAAGTTTTCTTCTCTTTGCAGTGCTGTTGTCCTACGTAGTTGGCTCTTACGATATCTACGGGATGAATAGGA